AGAGAGAGAGAGAGAGAGAGAGAGAGAGAGAGAGAGAGAGAGAGAGAAACAGATGGATGTGTCATCCTGATTTATTTCAAATAATAAATTCATATGATACGATAGCAAGAAATGTATATTAATTATAAATATTTGCACAAGATATATGTGGGTACCCAGTCGACACGCTGTTGAATCGAAAGATGGACTTGTTGTAAAATAAAATAAAAAAAGGGGGGGGGGGGGGAGAGGAACATTGGGAGGCCCAATCGTGGCCGTAAGTCAAGGACTACCCGGATTCCATTTAAAAGAAAAAGAAAGAAAAAGAAAGAAATCCCCAAAGAGAGGGAAACAAGAGGTGGGCCCACCGCTTGGGTTGAGCCTAAAGAGGAGCTGGCGATTTACACCAGCATAAGCAACAACACGCCGAAGAACGGGGCTACAGGTGGTCCTCGACTTACAACAGTTCACTTAGTGACGGTTCCAAGTTACAACAGCCCTGAAAAAAAGTGGATTTTTTTTTCTTTTTTGCTGCACACTTTAGGACCCATTGCTGCATCCCCAGGGTTCACGTGATTTGCATTCGGATGCTTGGCAGCCGGCTCACATTTATTTATGACCGTTGCAATGTCCTGTGTGTGTGTGTGTGTGTGTGTGTGTGTGTGTGTGTGTGTGTGTGTGTGTGTGTGTGTGTGTGAGAGAGAGAGAGAGAGAGAGAGAGAGAGAGAGAGAGAGAGAGAGAGAGACGGATGGATGTGTCATCCTGATTTATTTAAAGTAATAACAATGGGCTATGAGTTTGTGGGGGGTGGGAAATGTCTAATGAAGCAGGGAGTAATTAAATAAATAAAGGACCTTATAAATAAGATACTGTCCCCACCTTAGAACAGTTGGCAGCCTCTTAATGTCTGTCTCTAATTGCATTTTGCTTATGGCACATTAAGGCCAACTCCTTGTGGCCATTCAAACCTCATTCACTCTTTGCTTGATGAACTCAATGGGTAAAGCAATGCCTGGAATTTCTGTGGAAAGGAAACTCGTAATAAATGGGGCTGTGCTTCCAATAATTGAGACTTTCAATGTGAACAAATATTGTTTTGTAGCGCGGGGTTGAACTTATGGGGGTCCTTGGTGGTCTTTTGAGCGTGGTGGCTTGCTTCCAGACGTCTCGTGACCGAACTAGATAATGTCATCAATACTAGAAGGGAGTGAAGTTTGCAGAGTTGGAGAAAGAGGAGGAGGACTGTAGGGTCCTTGATGCACTCTGAGCTCATTTGTTTTCTTGCAGACGTTTCATTACCCAGCAAGGTTACATCATCAGCGCTAAAACGGAGGGGAGGGTTGGTTTCTCCTTATATACAAGTAGCTTGATCTGTCTGTGTTAATGGGAGGGCAAGCCACTTGTATATAATTTTGCTCACAGGGCAAACTATATTTGGTATTTATATTTATATATAAACAGCGAACCTTTCTACCTTCTAGCACTGATGACGCTACCTAGTTCGGTAATGAAACGTCTGCAAGAAAACCACCAAGCTCAGAGAGCACCAGGGACCCCAGAAACAGGAAAATGTTGGCTATGGAGGTGAATTGTTGGGCAGTGACCAAGTTGAGCATGTTCGCAGCGATACCGTTATTTCTGACTGTCGGCTCAGTATCCCGGAGCGTGGAAATTGGGGTAACAAAGTAGCTTTGAGGCATCTCATCTAATCCCCTTTTCTTGGACTCTTTTGCAAGCGTCCTACCATCCCCACCACAATCCAGAAGCTGGTTTTGCCTGCCGGTCTGTACAGATCCTCCAGGTGCTTTTTCACCTCTGTGCTTCTTTGTTTTTTTCTTCCGAAAGGCGTTTCGCTTCTCATCCAAGAAGCTTCTTCAGCTCTGACTGAACGGTGGGGAATAACATAAAAGGATTTATATTTCTTGCAGACAGCTGGTCGTTTGCATCCTTTTAGAGGGTCCCTGAGGCCACTTGTAGGGAAAATAGGAGAAGGAAAGAATATCAGTTATCTTCACTCCCTTGAGTTATTTATAAAAAATAAAAAGGAGGGATTTTTTAAAAAATTGAAAATAAATAAAAATAAATAAAGACTTACCTTGAACCTGGCACTGTCCTGAATCCTCTTCTTCTTCCTCCTCCACTCTCTTCACTTGGGAGGTTTATCTCTTGGTTCCTGTAGCCTGCAAATTTATTTTCCCTCTGGAAATCCCTTCCTACCCCCACCCTGTTCCAAGGGTGTTCATCCCAAATTGTGCAGCTAAATGTCTGCAGAGATTCTCAGTCCTCCACATCATTGTTGTCCCAAAAGTGCTTTTTTTGCAGGAGGCGCAATTGGACTCCCTTGTTTTTTTCTTTCAAAGGCGTTTCGCTTCTCCTCCAGTTTCGCCTGCCTTTCGATCCCAGGGTTCCTGTTCACCGGGCTGGCTCTTTGATTCCCCTCTTCCTCAGGTTCGAAAGACCCCTGCGCGGAGGTGGTCTGCAGCTTCGGCAGCACCTGCGTACGATCCACGGACGGGCAGTCGGCCAAATGTATCTGCATGTCCTTTTGTGGCGGCCTCCCCGAAAACACCGTGTGCGGCAGCGACGGCAAGGACTACCGCAGCGAGTGCCACCTGAACCGACACGCCTGCGACAAGCAGGAGAACATCTTCAAGAAGTTTGATGGGCCGTGCGGTAAGAAAAGGGTCTTGGGGCAGGGGCTCCGGTTTCGGTGGGGGTTTTCCCGCAGACCTTTCGTCACCCATCCGGGTAACTTGGTCAGTGTACGGGGGAGTGTCCAAGTCTATTCATCATCTGACGCGGTGGCTCAGGGGCTTAAGACGCTGAGCTTGTCGATCAGAAAGGTCGGCAGTTTGTGCGGTTCGAATCCCTAGCGCCCACGGAATGGAGCGAGCTCCCGTTGACTTGGGCCAGCTTCTGCCAACCTAGCAGTTCGGAAGCACGTAAAAAAAAATGCAAGAAGAAAAATAGGAACCCCTTTGGTGGGAAAGGAAGAGCATTCCGTGCGCCTTCAAAGGCAGTTAGTCCTGCCGGCCACGTGACCACGGAGACGTCTTCGGACAGCGCTGGCTCTTCCTTCCTTCCTCTTTCCTTTCCTTCTTTCCTTCCTGTCTGTCTTCCTTCTTTCTTTCCTTCCTCCCTCCCTCCCACCCTTTCTCCACCCTCCCTCCTCCTCTTCCCTTTCCTTCCTTCCTTCCTTCCTTCCTCATTCCTTCTTTCTGTCTTCCTTCTTTCTTTCCTTCCTTATTCCCTCCCTCCCTTTCTCCTTCCTCTCTCCTCCTCTTCCCCTTCTTTCCTTCCTCTTTCCTTTCCTTTCCTTCATTATTTCTGTCTTCTTTCTTTCTTTCCTCCCTCCCTCCCTCCCTTTCTCCTTCCTCTCTCCTCATCTTCCCCTTCCTTCCTTCCTTCCTTCCTTCCTTCCTTCCTTCCTTCCTTCCTTCCTTCCTTCCTTCCTTCCTTCCTTCCTTCCTTCCTTCCTCTTTCCTTATTTCTGTCTTCCTTCTTTCATTGTTTCTGCCTTCCTTCCTTCCTTCCATCCATCCTTCTGCAAAATCCCCCCTGGAATCCGATCACAGGCCACTGATCTTGCTCTTCGCGTTCTCTGCAGGGTTAAGGTGTGAGACACACACACACACACACACACACACACACACACACACACACACTTCTCCCGTCTCCATGGCGACATATTAATCTATTGTCCCCCTTGGTCTGATCCAGAGAGGTAGCTGTTCCACAGCACCGCGTGGTGCTGCATTTAAGGGGGGTGGGGGGCGGAACCCCCAAATGTGCATTTTCGCATTTGGGTTATTAAGGGAGCCTGAAACCTGCCGGGGTGTTGAAAAACGCCCCTGTGGAGACGCTGAGAAGGGGATTAGCCAGCTCCTGTATCTGGATGATCTGCAGCTGGCCGTCTTTGGCTTTCTGATAAGTCCATCCAAGCCCTGCAACGGAGGTGATCTGCTTCAAGCCCAAGATCCAAGTGGTTTTAAATCCTAGCTGGTCCCTTTTCATCCCTGCTCGCTCGCACTCGCTTGCTCACAAGGAACTCTTTTGGCCCTCGGCCTCAATCCGTGCAGGGAGTTCTCGACTTTACGGCCACCGCTGCAAAACCCAAAACGTCCGTTGCTAAGCGAGGTGTTTCTTAAGTGGCCCGCTCCACGGCCGCCCTTGCCCGCAGTTGTTAAGCCGAATCGCTGGCGTTGTTAAGCGAATCCAACTTCCCGGACTGGCTTCGCTTGTCGGAAGCTGGCTGGCGAAACACATTGACCACCCTCCTCCTCTTCTTTTCCTCCTCCTCCTTCTTCTTCCTCCTCCTCCTCCTCCTCCTTCCTTATTCCTCCTCCTCCTCTTCCTCCTCCTCCTCCTTCTTCTTGTTCCTCCTCCTCCTCCTTCCTTATTCTTCCTCCTTCTTCCTCCTCCTTCCTTCTTCTTCCTCTTCTTCTTCCTCCTCATCT